TTCGCCTCGGACTCTTTGACAAGTCTGGTGGTGCAGGCTGCTTTGAGTTTGCTCCAAGGGTCCCAGGATGAGTATGCTTCTTTTATCCCCTTGTCGCCCACTTGGTCCTTGATTTCTTTGATCCTCGCGTCCAAATTCTCTTCCGGTACTCCTTTGGCTGCAAGAAGTCCTCTGAGTTTCTGGACCGGTGTGGCCGTTCCACCTCGCACTCTTCCTCTGACGATCACCGTCGCTCCAATGGGCACACAGGAACACGTAGCTGAGGCAGCCAAGACTCTCCCAAACAAAGTGAAGTGCGCGGCCTCTGGAGGGACACCCCACTCATCCTGAATGATCTGCTCCAGGCTCCTTTCATCTCCCTGTCCAACTGCCAGCAATCTGCTCTGAAAAGCAAGGTAGACTGCTGTAGACATCTCCGGAGTCGTCGTCGTATTGTAGTTGGCTGTAGCCGGCAGAATTGCAGTTTGCAGAGCCCTGAGGTCACGAGTTTCATCTGTGCAGTGCCGCTTGGCTGTCATTGGCTCAGAGAAAGGAAGGCCCCGAACTGGAGGCTCTGGCGCTGCTGGCGTGGCATCGTCACCTGGCGGTGGGCGTTCCTCGTCATCGGACATAGGCTGCGTGTCTTCCAATGGAGGGTCATTGACACGTCCGCCTGCACTGCTTTCGCTGTCTTCGGTGTGGGGCGAATCTGGCAGGGTTTGCTCCACCTTGTCAAATTGCTTGAAGACATCCACATAAGTCCATTCATGGTCCGAGTGATTGTCCCATCTGAGCCTGAGGAAGTCTCCAGAATGGAGGGCTATCGGCCAGTGGACCTCATCTACCATGGTCCCATTGTGCATAACAATGTCCGGGAAAGATCCATGGGAGTCCATGTAGGTAGTGGCCAAATCCCGCTGTCTGCAGAGGTCAGGCAACCAGTGTGCTTGTGGCACCGCAGCATCCACCAGAACCAATGCTCGCTCCATGGTGTGGGGCAGAATCTCTCCCGCCAGGATCCATCTCGCCATTGTTGGGTCTTCATGCTTCACCGTAACAGCGACCAAGTTCGGGACGGGGATGAAAAGGAAGTCTGCAATCTGCTGGTGCACTGAAGCCACCGTGTCCTCGTCACTCAGGTTCACATCATGGTAGCCACTGAAAACCTCAAAGACTCGGTGCGACATCGGGGGCGTCGACGGCTCTTCAGAGAAGAACCTTTCATACTCCACCCTTGTTTCTTCCGAGAAGTACGGGGCTCTCCTTCCATGGGTGAACCTGCCATAGGTCAGGGTGTCCAGGTTGACCTGTAAAGCATTGATCCGCGTTGCAAGCATTCCCGATGAACTCCGCCCTGGGTCATTCTCTGGCAGGAGCATGGACCATGCATTTCTGTTGTAGGGCATGATGCCATCCCAGAACCCCCATTTCCGGTTGATCTCGAGGAGGCCTTCGTCCAAGTAGCGTAGAACCTGATCATCATGCATCGGCTCCTCTTGCCGGTGTGCAATGACCGAGCCCAGAATCAGCAGAGCCTGGGCTGGTATCGTGCAGTCACCCAGCAGCATAAATCCGTCTCCTTCGGGCTCCGGGAGAATCACATCAGGAGGGAAACCAAAGCACCGAATCACTTCCCACTTGGAGAGGTACCTGAGGAATCCCGGCGAAGGCTCAATGACAGAGAAGTGCAGGCCCCTTTTTGCCAGAGTAGCCCATGGGGTTGACAAGACATTTCGGTAGCTTGCTGTGATGGGCGGAAGTGGCTTCGACTGGTCCACCAACCTGTGCTGCAGCGCTGCTCCTGGCTTCATCTGGAGGTACTTCGGCAGGAGGTCGCGGCTCGTGATCTTCGTATAGTCCATGTCCCGGACCTTGATTGCATCTTCGTAGGTGTTGGGCATGTTGTCCCAAATGGCCGCGTGGCAGGCCAGTTCTCCTCTGTGGCCCACAGGCGCCAGATGAAAAGGAACCGACACAGATGGGGCATCAGCTCCATTCCAGAAGACCATGAAATGCTTTCTCCTGTGTGCTGGCACCAGGTCTGAGGGGTCAATGTATCCCTCCCACTTGAGCACATATCCCGCCCACTTGAGAATATCCACCGTCAGGTTCTTGTCCGAGTGCTTGCCAAAAGCCGGCGGCATTTCCAGAATAATGGCTCTTCTCTGCGCGATTCTAGCCATCAGGAAAAACTGCCAAATCGGAGCTGACTTCTGGCCATCCTGAAAACCTTGCGAGGCCTCCCCCGCTTGGAAGGCTTGGCCCGGAGGGGCCACACACCAGATCTCCACATTGCTCGTCTGCATAGCTTGGGTCCATCGGAGATCTGCCACGTCGCCCCAGAAGACTGAGAACTTGTTGAGATCCCCTCTGTCCGTATACAGCACCGCTGTGGGGTCATTGAGCAGGCTTGTCGCCACTGCCATTCCCTCGTTCTCCACTCGGATCGTGCACTCTGCAGGGAGCATGTCTGCTGCTCTCTTGTAGCCGTTGAGTCCTCCAGCAAAGAGCTCAGCAATTTCCACAACAGCATCTGTGCGAGAGGGCAGCAGGATTGCTGCCGTCTTTTCTGTTGCTGCCGGAAATTTCAGAACCCGCTGCCCAGTGGCATCTCTTGCAAACTTCGTTCCTGCCAGCATGTACACTTCCTTGTTGGAGATCTGGAAAGGGCATGCACTTGCATCCAGCATTACTTCTTCACCTGTAAGCTGAGGCCTTCTTTCAGCAGTAGGGGTCTCCAGGGCATTATCCAACTTCAGGTCCACAACATTCGCGATGCCGTGATGTTTAGACACCATTCGCAGTATCTTCACCACCGTATTGAACTTGTGTCCCAAGTCAACGTCCTGCAAACGCCTGCTGATTATCCACCCGCGACCAGTAAGAAGATCTATGCGATCTTTTACAGAAGTCCCTTTATCCCAAAGTGGATCCATGGCCCGACGTCAGTCTAAGTCCAGCCTCACTGCTGGGAAGTCTCGGGCCCAGAGGCTAGTGCAGGGTTTAGGGTTTCGGGTTGAGGCTCTGGGGTTTCGGGCTCAGAGCTTAGGCTTTCAGAGTTTAGGGTTTAGAGTTGGGTTCAGGGTTTAGGGGTTTAGGGGTTTAGGGGGTCTAGGGTTTAGGTTTAGGGTTTAGAATGTAGGAGTTAGGGTTTAGGGTTGAGGTTGTGGGGTTAAGGGGTGAGGGACTTCAACCTGGTACGGCAATGTCATGGTGTTGCAGTATCTGGGCTTTGAAGCAACCAGGGAGAAGTATAAACTTGCATATGGGAGTTTCCGAAAATAAGGGGTACCTTATTCTGGAGTCCTTACAATGAGGATCCTACTATTTGGGGTACTATAAGAAGGAACCCCTATTTTCGGAAAACCCCATATCGTAAAGGTGCCTTCAAGGGATAAGTCCCACAAAAAAAAGTATCAAAGGATGGTAATGTAGGGGCCTTCATGATTAGAATGAGGTTTTGGGGCCCTGTATACTATAACTATAGTAAGGAACCCTCAAAATAGTACAGGTAATTGTTTAGGCCCCAACATTACTCCAGAACCCAGGCGTTGGGTGAAGCCTCAGGATCGGAGCTGTTGATTCGGCTCTGTGGCTGTTGCCGGGCATCAATATGGTGTACCTATAGTCTCCATTGGAGTTCCGTTTTTTGGTTAACCAGTTTTATGGTTGGGATCCCATAGTATAAATTTGGTTAACCAAAAAAGGAACTACAATGGAGACTATAGGTAGGACTTAAGTTCGAAGGCTTGGCCTAAGGTTTAGGGCCCTGAAGCCGTGAAAAGTGCGATAACACCCGAGAGAGCCTTCGAAAACGGCCCGAAGAATCAATGACCCTGCGAACATTCACTCAATCCCTGAAAACCAAATCCCCAAAAATCATAGAAACCCTCACCCCGAAACCCTAAACCCTAAACTCCCTAAACCCGAAACCCCCCTAAACCCTAAACCCGAAGCTCTACACACGTCGCGACACCCCCCACCTCGAGACGGCCGAGGTAGCGGTGACTCACCTCACCCTTCTCCAAGAGCGCCGGTAGCGTGTCTCCCTGGCTTAGCACCAGAAAACCCCTAAACCAGGCTCTTGGATATCGCAGAAATTTGAAAGGCTGTCGAAGGGGCTATAGGGGTGTCAGAACAAGCGGATCCTTTACCATCAGTGATACTCTTCCGTCGTGAGCCCCGGAAGCTAGTGCAATCAATGTATGCCCCTCTCGATGGTACTTGAAGGCTCAAACACTGATGGCATGCTGAGACATGCTGAGAAACTTTCGGCTTTATGCTTTTATGCTTCTTTCAGGGCATCTGTCGGGCCCGGCGTATAGATTCAGGCAGTGATTAATGGATGGCCAGGGAGGCATGAAGCACACAGCATACGTAAACCTGGCTTCACCATACATGCTGAAGCTCATAAGCACCGCAAAATCGATTACCAAACCTATGCAAGCACCGTCTTGTCTTGTGCCATTCCCATATTCCTTCCAAACCTAGGCTGTTGATGTTGCTACTGCCAGAGTAAACACTCTGACCTCACCCTGACTGTCGCTGTAGCTTCAACGAATGCTTCTGCTATCCTCATTGACACTACTGGTCACGTTGCTTGTGCCACAGTTACATGGTAGTCCTCTAAATTCAGGTCCCTGTCGGGGTCCTATTTACAAAACGGGACGACCCTAACCTAAAGAACTGGCCACATGCAGGAAACATATTTGGCTTCTGCCCAGAGCAGGACCTCAACCTGTTGCCTCACACTCGTGCCCCGAAGCCCTGAACTCTACGATCCCATGCCTGCCCAGGCCCTAATCCTTAGAAAGCACAAGACTTGAAAACACCACCAAAGCCTAAAACCCTAGCAGAGCCCCCATTTGGACCCCCGAAGAAGAAAGAGAAGCAAAACACGAAACCCACCACACCAAGCCCGGAAAGACCCCCTAACCCCCTTAGCCTCGAAACACCAACAGTATCAAAACCCTGAAGCTCTGAACCAAAACCCCACAGACAAAAAAACGGCAGCCACGAGCCTCTGGGTTCTGGTCTGGCTCTAGACTATGCCTGGTGCGACTCCCCAGGGAAAGCTTTGAGGTGGCTACTTTCGGGCTTCAGCTTTCGGGCTCTTTTGGAGTTGAGGGTTTAGAGTTTAGGGCTTAGGGTTTATAGTTTTGGGGTTTAGGAGTTAGGGTTTGGGGTTTGGGTTTAGGATTTCGGGTTTAGGGTTTAGGGGCTAGGATGTCGAGGTACCCTTAAAAAAGTAACCCCTCTAGCAAACGTCACAGTACCCCCAAGAGCAACCCTGGTGGGGAACCCCTAAAGATCCCATAGTAACCCTTCTGAGCAGCCCTAAACCCTAAACCCTAAACCCTAAACCCTAAACGCTGACCCTTCTGAGCAGCGGAATTTCGATCTTCAGTTTGGGGCTCATCCCCCGCTGCCAAACTCCCACAGAGATCGCTGGAAAAGCCTCAAGCCGCCCGACGCATCAACCCTAATGTAAGAACCTGATTAAGACACCCTGGTCCTATAACCCCCCAAAATATGAAGATCCATATAAAGAACCCTAATGTGAACTCCGGGTTTCTTTAACCCGGTTCCTATGTGAGACCCTCAATCCCAGACCCCAACCATAAAGCCCGCACCCTGATCCCTGAACCCTGAAGCCTGATCCCTGGATCTTCCCAAGCACGCGTCAGGGGCAGAGTGAGGAGAGCGAATACAACTTAACGACCTAAAACGCACAGCCCTTCGGGCAAGCTTCGGGTTTAGGGTTTAGGGCTGTCTTCTGCAACCCCCCAAAACCCCAAAACCAAAAAAGCTAAAAAAGCCCCAAACCACTCAAAGAGCCAAGTGACAAAGCCACTGCCTCACCTCGCAAGAGAAGGACGACCTGTTTTGCCAAGCACTCTCCTAGTGTTTAGGATTCAAGGCTTTGGGATTTAGGGATACAGGTCTAGGGTTTAGGGTTTAAGGTTCTAGGGTTTGGAGATGTTAGATTAGGTTCAAGCGTAGGGTTATAACGTAGTTGCATGCACTGCCTGGCTTGCAAAGCGTGCGTTCTCATGCTGCTGCCGGGCTCTGCGAACTCCAAATCCCAAACCCGATCCGGAAATGTCGGTAGGGAATCCAAACCGAGATGTTTCAGAGTCGTCACGTCAAGCTGAAACCCTAAACCCTAAACCCTAAACCCTAGGCCCTAAGCCGATAGCGTGTAATGCAGGGGCCTTCAATGATTAGAAGAGGGTTCCTTTCAAGGGATCCGTAGATTAGAGGGTTCTATAAGGGATCTATGACAGGGTTCTATATTAGGCGCCGTAGTATATAATTAGAATAGAGTTTTGGGGTATGCTTCTACGATAATTGTAGTTAAGGAACCCCCACACTGCTGCTGGTCATTCTTTTGGCTCCTATATTAGGGCGTTGCGGCCCTTGCGGCTTTTTGCCTGCCAAGCGAACCTTCGTCATTCTCTAGGAAATAGTTCCCACGCTGTGGCTTTCAACTAGACTAGAGCTCCCTGGAAACCCTGAAAGCGCTAAACTCTAAACCCCTGTTCACGGTGATAAAGACCCTCCAGACTCTGACAAACACTAAAGTCACTAATGCAGGGGCCTTGATGATTACAACAGGGGTTTTGGAGCCCGTTATACTATAGCTATAATAGGGAACCCCCACAGTAGTATTGGTAATTAACTATTTAGGCCCCTACATTAAAGGCCGAACGACTCCAAGAAGCCCACCTTGCCGAAAGGCACGCCACCTTTCACGACCAATTGCCCGGCTTCTTTGCGCTTGCCTGGGTTAGGATGTCTCAAGGCTACCTGCATACGCTTTTAAACACTCAACCAAAAAGCGAACATCTTCCAACCCGTAGCAAAAAAAACACTACCAAAAAAAAACAAAAACTATATATATATATATGGTTCAAAGGCCCATTCAAAAAGAAAGGTAAGGTCTTTTTGCCATGGAACGGTGGCTGCGCTGCATCAGCTGCACGAACCTCAGGTAACTCCCAAAAGTTTAGGGTTTAGGGTTTAGGGTTTGGGGTTTAGGGGAGGCCGATACTCTGCAAATAAGGAGCACTGGATGTAGGGCATCGTCTGCAAAACCTGGAAACCTCTAAAGGCTCAGATGCTAATCCCCTCAACCCGAAACCCTATAAATCCTTAACACCACGCGCCGAGCATAAAAGTGGAATCCCGCATGCCCGCAAGCCGACAACTTTGTGATAAGAACGTCCAACAGGCCAAAAGCCCAGAGCCCCAAGCAAAACGCCAAAGGGGCACCCAAACCTACACTAAGGGTTTAGGGTTTAGGGCCAAAAAACCGCCTTAGCAGCCACCTGAAAAAATGAACATAACCGATGGGCGCGGCAGTGGACACCCCACTGGGCAGGAAAATGGATTCGTACACCTGCACAGCTGCAAGTTCCGTAGCCTTCCGGATTTTCTGTTTCCGGATTTTCTGTGGTTTTCAAGAGCAGACTTCTGCGGCAATGATCATTAGGATTAGGGTTGAGACTCTTGGGCTAAGGGATTCATGGCTTATGCTTGGGGCATGTTGGGCCGCTCATGCTTGAAGGCCCGGTGCTGGCGGCGTTTGATGCGAAAGCCATCGCGAAAGTCACTCGATAGCCAATCACCTTTCCTAACTGCCTTCATAATGCGACCCTACTTACAACCCCTATTTAGACACGAGGGTATTAATCAAGCGTCCAACCCTCTCCAAACTGAGGGTGCCCTACTCGGAGTCCGCGAGCATTTTATATATATATATATACACAAGTCCATATACATATTTCGCTTTAGCATTCATACTAGTATCAGTGTTAGTGTTGGCTCTAGGAACAGTATGAGTATAGTATGAGTATGGGCATGAGTAGTCGTACTAGTATTAGTACTTGGATTGGCAGTAGTACTAGTATTAGTACGAGTATTAGTATTAGCATTAGTGTTAGTGTTAATGTTGTGTACATATACATATATATATATAATGTGTGTATAGGTATATATATATATATATCTTATGTATACGTGTGCATGTGTATATATAATGTGTATATATATATATACAGATGTACCTATGCATGTATCTACTTATATGTCTTGTATATATATATATACATGTACATATGAGTGTGTGTACATCTGTATCACTATCTATGCATCGACCTACCTATCTATGTATCTAAGTATAAAGCAATATATGCTCTATATATATATATATGTATGTATGTATGTATGCATGTATGAGCAAAACTATAGGGGAGTGGCTTGGATGTCAGAAGCACTACCGCCTTGCCGGAAACTTCCGTGTGAAACACTGCGGTGTCTGAAGCTAATGGCTCTTCACATCTGGAGTAGCAAACTCGAAACTTCACAGAGCCAAGGCCCCAAACTCTGTCATGTGTGGAACCAGAACGCAACATTGCTGGGAAACCTCAAGGTAAGATGTTCTTTTCCTTGGGCTGCGAGGGACGAGTGAGTTCAGGCTTTAGGTTGGGTTAGGGGTTGGGAACTTAGGGGTTTAAGGAGTTAAGTTAGGCTTAGAATTGTAGGGTTTAGGGTTTAGGGTCGAGGGTTAGGATTTAGGGTTGGGCGTTGGGGGTCTGGGCTTCTTTGCTTGTTCATTGGCTTTCTCCCTTCTGATTGCCACTTGGGTGGACTACTTATGATATTATAAGCCCAAATAGGGCACTCATGCATACCGTGCTTGAACACACTTATGACCAGCCATAAACCCTGAAGCACCTCGACGTCTTCCTTGGCAATCTCAACTTTGGCCGGCGTCAGGAAGAGCAGCGGCGTCATGCCTGCACGCTATCATGTCTGAGCCTAGTGTCAATACTCGTACTTGGAATCCAAATCGATTATCGTGTGGAAGCTCGTTTTACCATCTAATGGAAGCTCTTTTTACACCTATCCTGTCCCTGCATGCCATGACTTTGCAGTAGCAGGGCCGGTGACGGCAATCGCTGCTATCACATGCAATGCAAATACCGCTGCCATCGCTGCTGTTGGTGTCGCTGGCTGTTGCAATGCATACTAAATGCATACGATCCCTTTGATAAGTATCGCTGTTGTTTGCTTTGTCGCGAGAAACGTTTCAATGACCAGTGACTGCAGATGTTCACAACGCTACGAATTCTCGTCGCGTCGCATCAAGCGAATCTACGGTCGCTGACGCGGGCAATGCAGCAAAACATGGCGCTAAACAGCAAAGCGCACACTCTAAACGCTATACCGTAAATTCTGAATCCCTACAGCATGCCTGCGAAGCAGCCAAGGGTGATTCCGATCAGTTTCCCCGCCAGCGTCGTGAGTTTTGCAGCATTCATGCGCTCCTGGCACAGCACTTGGAGCTTAACGCCTTTAGGACGGTAAGCCTGCAGGGTTTATGCCTTAGGGTTCCGAATGTTCTAAGCCCTCAGTACTTTCTCTTATATACTTTATGTACATTGATATACTGTTAAGTTATATGCTTGTGGTAACTGCCATAACCATACTAAGAACCCTGAAAACAAACTTGAGCCAGTGTGAATCAGGTTTCTTACGTTATGCAGAACTTATCAACCCTACAGACCTAAACCCTAGACCCTAAACCCTAAACCGTAGACGCTAAACCCTAAACCCTACAGACCTAAACCCTAAAACCCAAAACCCTACGGACCTTCACCCGAACCTATACCCTTAAGGCCCGCACCGCCCTCCGGCCCTAAGCCCTATGCCTGTAATCCGAAATCCTGACACACTCTGATGAACTTATCCCCGTTTAGGGGATTTGGGTTTAGGGTTTAGGGGACCATTATGAAACCCTAAAGCCTTTTTCAATGCCGTGCAAATGCTTTTTAAATTCCGGATGTATGTGCGCATACATATGTATGCATGCATCTATGTATGTATGCATGTATGTATGCATGCATGTATGTATGCACATCTGTATTGAAACACTTGAAAGAACCTGTAAGACCCTACCAAGACCCTGCGCTCAAGTTGCCTGCATCGGCGTAAGACCGCCATTGCTCAGACCCATCCTCGCGTCGAGCTTTAGGGTTTAGGGTTTAAGGCCCCTGACATTAACTCAATGGCTGTTTGGTGCTAGAAAGGCGTTGTAGGGTTTGTCCCTGTGGGTGCTCTCGTTTAAGACAGTTACAAAGATTTTGCTAGGGCTTCGGGCTTAGGGCTGAGGTTCAAGATTTGAAGCACACACTGTAGGTTTGGCATTCATAGCTTCAAGTTTAGAGTCTTGGGCGACCAGGGTTTAGGGTTTAGGGATTAGGATGCAACTCCAAGCACATGAAATTAAGTCCCTTCCGACGAAGCGCAGCTACTCCCGCTCATTCTTCTGACAGCTGTGTTGCTATTCAACATCGAGTACTTAAAGGATCATGGGACTTAAATAGGTAGGGTTATAACTAAGGTAACTAAGGTAACTATACTTATAACCCCCAATCAGGGGACTTATAACCTTACTTCCTAAGTCCCATGATCCTCCAAGTAGGGAGATCAGCCGTTGAATGAACCAGGGAATGAGGCTAAGAGCCTCACACGCCCCTAATCTTGTTCGAAAGATCCTCAAGGTTAAGGGTTAAGGGTTCAGGGTTTAGGGTTTAGGGTTTATGGTTTAGGGTTAAGGGTTTAGTGCACCAGACATTCATGAAAGCAAGCACGAAGACATGAGGAGGCTGCTACGAAGAGCAAGATGAGACAGGCTATCAAATGAGGATGCTGATGATCCATACCCCAAACCCTAATTCCTAAACCCTAAATACTGAACCCTAAACCCATGCTGCCATGGCAAGAAAGCCCATCACCTTCAGCTCCCAGTCATCCACAAACGAAACTGCGGAACCCACAAGCAGAGACGACAGGAGGAGCTCTGTAGGGTCTAGGGTTAGATGTCCCACAACAACACCGGAATGAAGAAAATACTTGCCCGGTGGCTTCTGCGCAGACCGCTCAATGGCATCCCCCAAGCCTGGCTTTGCCAGGGTTCTTGCCCGGTACTATAGGAGTTACATACAGCTACTGTAAGGGTACTACAACGTACTATAAACAGAACAAACTCCCGAAAAGGATTCCAGAAGGGTACTGTAAACCCTGAACCCTAAATTGCTATACGGTTTAGGGTTTAAGGCTCAAGGTTCAGGCTTTACCGTCTCTGGGTTTTTGGTGCTCATGGTTGGGTGCCATCAAGGGGCATGCTGAAATTCTTGGGATGTAAGCTTGGAGCTTTGGGTTAACTTGTTGCTTGTTGGCTCGGCTTGGTTTCCATACTTCAGCTTCAGTCTCAACGCCCTAAGCTTCGGATACTCTTGGGCTCCACGTCGCAATGTGGCTTCGAGGACCTGTGTTCTTCGGGTTCAGGTGCCGTTCTACCTAGGCTCTCTGACTCTAGGGGGCCCTAAACCCTAAACCCTAAACCCTAAACCCCTGGGCAATTGCCTCAGATGCTCAGATGCTCATGGCTAAGCCGGTAGCATCCACATGATGAAGAAGATGAAGATGATTCTTCTGGCGAAAGCGAATGAAGATGCTGGTAGTAGTAGTAGTAGTAGTAGTAGTTGTTGTTGTAGTAGTAGTAGTAGTGATGATAATATTACAATAGTGAAAATGATAATACTAATAATTATGTATGAGCACCATATTGGCCTTGACCTCGGTCATCCCTCATGACGACATGATGGTGATGATTACCAATGTGATATTGAGTAAATTATGAGCATGGTGCCGAAGGTCATGGTACCGGTGGATATGCATTTATCTCTTGGTGTCCCCTGGACCCTAAACCCTAAACCCTTAACCGCCCCCACCCTAAACCCTAAACGCTTAACCGCCCCCAAGCAGTCAAACCCAATCCTCTTTAGAATGAAGGATCGGGCCTAGGCCGATCGTGTCGGAGAGCCAGTTGCCCAGGCCTGTCGGGTGACGCACCTTTATGTATGTGCATATGTATATGTAAATGTCTATATATATATATATGTATGTGTACACCCAAGTATAAACGTCTATATACAAAAACACGTACAGGAACATACACATATACATATGCATATACATATGCATATTATATTCATTTGCATATACAATTACCTTTACATATACATGTACATCTACATCTACATAAGCAGATATATGCAGCTGCATACATGTGTATACACATATATACAGACAGAGAGAGATAGATACATCGTCAGATAGATAAACAGATACATAGATAGGCAACTAGATAGATAGATAGATAGATAGATAGATAGATAGACAGACAGATAGATAGATAAACGACTAGTAACTAAATAGCTCTTCGGCCAGTCACCAAGCACCTTGGCACTGTAACCCCTGCAACTTTGCAACATAGGCACTAAGGCAGTGGCGATCCGCAGGCTGTGACAGCAGCAATCATAAGTTTAGGGTTTAGGGGGTAGGGTTTAGGGTTTAGGGTTTAGGGCTTGACGGCAATAGCGGGAAAAAAAAGAAAAACGAAGAATACCTAGTGAAATGACAGACATGTTCCTGGCAGCAACACTCCTAGATGCAGCACTAGCACGAACAAAACAAGTAGCACTAGCAGCAGCAACCATTTCTACCATCCTCACTGTAATTGCAACCACAATCAGCAATGATGCTTTCAGGTTTTGGAATCTAGGGTTCAGGGAGTTCGGAAAAGAGCTGCAGGGCTCTGGGGTAAGCCCCTGCTGGGGCCGACGGCTCAAGGTGCACGGGGTCGGAGTTCGGGGCTTGAGCTCTCATCATTCCTGGCCTATTCAGGCACAGGATTCATCTTCACCCCTATCCCATTCTCCATATATGTATATATACAGATATCATATCATATGTGTATCTATGTATGTATATATATATATATTTATTTATATTTATGGTGCCCCCCCCCATGGATCCACCCTTTTCGCCTTTCGAGTACGTGACGTCGAGCACGATTGAAAGGCATTCGTACACCGCCTTGACGCGCATCGTGGGCTTCCGAACCGCGTCGCACTTCTGAAAGACAAATAACAGAAATGCTGTACTGTCCCAAAGAAACCAAAAAAACAATCTTTTCCGGTCTTGAAAGAGCTACCGACTACAGGCCTTCCGAATTATTGGTTTTTTTGGGACAGTACAGCACTTTTGCAACAAAGGATTGGTTTTTT